TGAGGCGAGGGATGGACACTAACCAGCCCCTCCCCACGCCAGCCCCGCGAGAAAGTGCGTCAGCGAACCCAATGAGGAGAAACTGCGAATGCCAACCAGCCTAACTGAAATGCAACGCCTGAAACCCGCCCCACAAAAGCATAACCTAAACCTAACCTGGAAAAAGTGCACCGACTATCCCTATCGCGAGGAAGTGCTCTTATAAACCCCGTCTGAAGGAAATACATTCAAGAATCCGGGCCGGAGGAAGTGCTCACGTACTTTGGGTCCGGCGGAAGTGCATACAAAGAATCTGGCCCGACGGAAGTATTCACGTAAATAGGGTCCGGCTAAGTGTCACATAAACAGGTCCGGCGGAAGTGCACCCAAGAATCCGGTCCGGCGGAAGTGTTCACGTAAACTCGGTCCGGAGGAAGTGCACCCAAGAATCCCGTCCGGCGGAAGTGCTCACGTAAACTAGGTCCGGAGGAAGTGCACCCAAGATTCCGCACCGGCGGAAGTGTTCACGTATATTGGGTTCGGAGGAAGTGCATCTAAAGTGCTCACGTAAACTAAGTCCGGCGGAAGTGTATCCAGGAATCCCGTCCGGCGGAAGTGATCACGTATATTGGGTTCGGAGGAAGTGCATCCAAGATTCCGGTCCGGTGGAAGTGTTCAAGTTTACCCAAGAATTTAGTCCGGGGTTGGGTGGGGGGAGTGCTCATGTATATTTTGCCCGCAGAAAATGAACTCATGAAACCGGTCCCCAAGAAGTGCTCACCTAAATTGGGACCGGCCTCGGCCCGGCAGAAGTGGACCTGCGAATCCGCTTGGCCCTGCCCCTCACCTCCCTACTGGCCCTAGTCCCCGCCGCTCCACGTGCCTGCGGCTGCCATGCTGCCAATCGCAGGGAGGGCGGCGGGTCGGACAAGCGCTGAGTGACTTGCGGCCTTTTCCGTGTATATCTTTGCAGTTTGTTTATTTCAGGAGACAAAAGTAGTACGGAAAATAAGAAATTTATGGAACTTAATCTACATCAACAAGTGCAAGCGACATAATTTGCAGGCTTCATGCTGAAAGTGGGACCCCTTGTTTAAAAAGCAGGAAAACATCATGTTAAAGGGATAAGGCCATAAAACCGTTTTTATCTTCCCACCCCACATACTGACTCTTGATTCGTCATGTTTTTGTTATTTAATGTCATTTGTAGTAAAGAAAAATTTAAATGATTACTGAGTTTTCCTGGGAACCTTTATATTTTGCAATGCCAGTTTAAATGCAAATACAAACACATTTAACTTGTATGTGAAAACATCAAAATTATGGACAATTCATATCTCGAGGCTCCCAAACCGGGGTAGGCAAAAGTAGGTTTACAGTTGTGCATATGCAAGTTTATTCTTGTATTATTGTATTATTTGTATTATAACTGTAAACCTACTTTTGCTTGCCCCATAAACTCAGTGGACATGCTGTAGAAATTGAACCCTAACTCGCTCTTTTAAAAAAAATATTTTCATTTGAGAGGAAGGGAGGAAAGATAGAAATTTCAATGACGAGAATCATTGATTGGCTGCCTCCTGCATGCCCTCCCTCCCCCCACCCCCCCACTGGGGACCCAGCCTGCAACCAAGGCATGTGCTCCGCAGGCTGACGCTCTATCCACTGAGCCAAACAGGCTAGGGTGAACCCTCACTCTTGACAGACACACATTCTACCTGACGGGCAAAGACTGACAGGAAAGGGGATAGAGGGCTGCTCTCCTTCCCTTTCCTTCTGTTTTGTCATTTTCAGTAAGTGGTTGCCTAATACAGGGAAGTCACACACGTAAGAAAGAATATTGTAGGGCTCCTTGGTTGTTCCTGTTTCTTAGATGCTTCCACTCGCCAACCTTCTGACTTAGAAGCAAGTCCTGTTGCAGCGGAAAGTACAGTCTCACCTGGCTGTCCGCACACAAGTGACTCAGATGCAGACATAACACGCTCACCGTGTGTGTGCAGAAGTGGGAAAATTTCCTTCTTCCCTTCTGGGTTCTTTAGCCTAACAATCAAATGCACAGAAGACAGATTGACAGGAGAAAAACAATTTTAATTTTGTACAAACGAAAGCACCAACAAAGATAAGACCCAAAGGCAGTTGAGGCTTGTCTGTCATCCTGAGCTGAGGAATGGGAGGGCGGATGGGGCCTGTGATTCACAGGAAGATAAGGGCAGATGCTTGGTTCTGAGGGTTGCCCTGTCCTACATAAAGGTCACGCAGGTAAAAGTTAACTCTCTTCATAGCTCTCTTTCTAGGACAGGCCCACAATAAAAATTTTGGATAGTTAAGGGAGCGGTTAAACTTTTTCCTGAGTCCACTGGGTCTCGATTTCCTTCAGCTCAAAATAATTCACATGCCAAAGTGGCCCATTTTGGGGTGGCCTACTCTGCTCCCCTTCATATTCTGAGCCTCAGTGAACTCCCAAGACTCATGGGCCCACTGAAATCTGTGCTCATGGGGAACACAAATGCTCGATACAACACGGGGGGCAAAGAAACACAGATATGTCCTCTGCTCCGGCACATGGCCCGCTCTCCTATTTAACTCAAGTTACTGAACTCCTTTTAACTCAAAATTTTCTCCAATGAAATAAGGATAATAGCCACTCTACTATTCACCAGGATATTACAGGATAAATGGGAACACGGGCAAGGCATTTAGAATAGAGGCACTTCTGTGCTGGTTTAAAGCTTCAGAGGCTTTGTTGTTGGTACCGACTCCCTCTGCCCTCCTCTCGTCAGTGGCCAGTCGAGAGGCCCCAGAACTGCAGCCTCTGTCCTCTCAGCCCAGGAGGTGTCCACAAACACACAGCACACGTGGCAGGAAGGTTCCGTTACAGGACTGTATCTGTCGCCTCCAGATCTAGGTTCCCTCCCACTTGAACACATTGCTCGCCTCTGACCCCGGCCACCTCTTGCCTCATTTCCTTCCACACCCCTCCTTCCTGTTGGAATCTCTGACTCCAGCCTCTTGCCTTGGGTGTACTTCCTGGCAGGACCTTGATGCAGATCACACCCTACCTGTCGGAGGGCCAGCACTACCGAGTCCCCTTTCACACACCCCTCCAGCTCTGTGCTCGGCGGCCTTCGTGTGCAGAACCACGACGTGGGGCCGAGGAGGACTCTCTCCCGAGCACCCCCCCACACACACTGTGATCAGGGTTATTTTCTAAGAAGGGCCTTTGCTGTCCTCTCTCCACCGCTGGGCTAACCTATTTATTTGCCTCCCCCAGCTCTGCTCGTCTGGCTTGGCAGCCGAGCCGTTCAGAAAGCAGAGCGGTCGGACCACAGGCCAGACCGCACACTAGAGGACAGGGGGAGGGACCGGCTGTCAGTCACTCACCCACCCAGGATTTACTCTGTGGTCAATGTTTCCCGCATTTTGCTATTTCCTGAGCGTTCCCTATGAACTTAAGTCCCTCACATGAATAGGCTTTCCCTCTTGTGAATTCTCCGATGTTGGCTGAGGTGCGAGCTCTGACTGAAGGCTCTCCCGCACTCGCTGCACGCATAGGGCTTCTCGCCAGTGTGGACTCTCCGGTGTCGAATGAGGTGTGAGCTCACCCTGAAGGTTTTCCCACATTCACTGCACACATAGGGTTTCTCTCTGGTGTGGATTCTCTGATGCAGGATGAGGTGTGAGTTCAGGCTGAAGGCTCTTCCACATTCTTTGCATTCAAAGGGTCTCTCCCCAGAGTGGACTCTCTGGTGTCTAGTGAGATCTGATCTCCCGCCAAAGCCTTTGCCACACTCGTTGCACTCATAGGGTCTCTCTCCAGTGTGGGTTTTCTGGTGTCTGGTAAGCTTTGAGCTGTGCCTGAAAGCTTTCCCACACTCACTACATTGATGGGGTTTTTCTCCGCTGAAAACTGCTGTCTGTTTAATAAGGTTTGAGTGCTTGAGAGATTTTCCACGGGGAGTTTTTTCTCCAACGTAAATGTTTTGATGCATAATAAAACCCGAATTCCACTGGAGACTTTGGTCATAGGTACTGTGTTTACAAGATCTGTGGTGTGTGAATTCACTTGGGTTCAGGTTTATGCATCTGTCACATCCATTGTGACTTATTATTTCACCTGAAAGTATATTTTTGTGGGTGAGGATTTTGCTAAAGCCTCCATCCTGAGCAGACGATGGTCTCTGAGACTCCCCAGGCTCGTTTTCCTGTTGCCGCTTTACCCGGCCCGCAGACTTGGAGACGTCCCAAGGCTCAGCAGACTCCTCTGAGGCAAATGTCGAAGGTCGTCCTGACACAATTCTCTGTGAGCCTGTGTTTTCATGAACGTCAAGACTTGACAGAGACACGTTGTTTTCACTCTCATGACCTAAAATGACAATAATGACAGAAGAGGTTTGCTGAGCTGGAAGAAAATAAATTGTTCAGATACACCCAAGATAGTTACAAATTGGTACCTCATTTGGCCATTCCAAAAACATGCCCTTCCAAAAGAGAGGCATGAACCACACAGAAGAACAAATCGGTACAAGCTGGTCCTGTGTGCAGTGGTTGGCAGAGAGAGGAGACGCCCATCAGGATGAGCAGATGAAACAGAAAAGCCTGGGAGGAGGAGCTTCGCCAGCAAGAAAGGAGGGGAAGACAAAGTAGGAACAAAGAACTCCGAGTGGGACTGAGGGACCAGGGGGCTCTGGATCTAGGATACACGTCTACGGTTAGGCTTAGAGGAAGAAGGGGAGGCACCATCTCCAAAGAAAGCAGATGAGGATGCAGATGTGAGAGAAAAGTAAAGTTGTAAATGACTCCGGAGTGTGCGTACACAGAGCTGAAAGCATCCGTCCATCGTCCGTCCGTCCATCCATCCATCCATCACTTCTGGTTGGCAAAGAAAAGGACCACCTACAGCTATTGGGACAGTCTAAGAAGGGAGGGCCCCATCCCTCCGTCCACGGACACAGCTTTACCCAAGTTCAGTGGGAGAGCGGGTTCTGAAGAAACCTGAAGGTCCTCGGTGTCCACCGGCGGGAGCTGGTCAGTAAATGCTGGTCCAGGAGATGCAACCTTCCTCCTGAATATTTCCTGTCCCTGTCCAGGGACTGGAACCTGAGAAGAACAAAGGACATCTGGACTTAGGAGAGAGTCCCTGTTAGAACCACACATCTCCCCAAACAAAGAGAACCTCCTGTAGGAACACAAAACTGGGGAAGGAAGAATCAAGTCTGACTCAGCGGTGAGATATGGCATATCCCAACCAGAGAGCCAAGGAGACATAAATGCATCCTGAACTAGGAGCCCAGCTCTCCCACTGTGGGCCGCCATCGTTCTGGAGGCCTCAGCCACCCAGCGTCCCTGTACCTGGAGCACTGCTTCACCGCTGGCTCTCTTGTCTTCCAGCACGGCCACCACCTCCTCCCCGCTCTGCGGGCGCTGCTCTCGCACCAGGGCCTGCAGCTCCGCGGGCAGGATGCTCAGAAGCTGCTCCAGCACCAGCAGCTCCAGCATCTGCTCCTTGCTGTGCGTCTCGGGCTGCAGCCACAGCCCGCAGAGCTCACGGAGCCGGTGCAGTGCCTGGCGGGGCCCAGGTGCGTCGTGGTAGCTGAAATGCCTGAACAGCTGCCGGCACAGCTCCTGCTTGAGAAAATCACTTCTCCCCGAGCCAGCGTCCTGCCCCCAGACAAAATCTTCCTCCTCCACCTTCACTCTCAGAAGCCCTTCATCCTCCGGAGGGTTCTGAGCTGCAGCTCTCTGGGATTCTGTCGTCATCTTGGGATAGAATGAATGATCACAAAGCCCACTTCTGCCTTGTGAAGGGTTTTTTAGTTTCAAGAGCTCTCCTGGAGAGTAAAAAAAAGTTACTATTATTGTCTAGAAAGACCACAGTATGGAACTAGTCATTTTCTATTACACAAAGAGGTACTGGGCGTTTACTCTGTGAAAATACTGAAACGCCTGCGTTGGGAATACAACTGTTACATAATTCCTACCTCAACGCAGTTTAACATTCAAACTGACAAGCAAGATAATTGAGGGAGCATTTGAAATCCTGCTCCTGGCATATTCCATAAGTTTGCCTCAAGTAAACTCATAAAAAAACACACACCACCACCACCAAGGTGATTTAAATGAGAAGCATTTAAATATAAATACAACACAAGACTGAATGTGAACATGCCACATGCAATTAAATTATTTCTATGTGCCCTAGCCAGTTTGGCTCAGTGGACAGAGCGTCAGCCTGCGGACTGAAGGGTCCCAGGTTTGATTCCGGCCAACGGCACATGCCCAGGTTGCGGGCTCGATCCCCAGTAGGGGGTGTGCAGGAGACTCCAATCAGTGATTCTCTCTCATCGTTGATGTTTCTATCTCCCTCTCTGAGATCAATAAAGATATATTTTTAAATAAATTATTTCTAAGTTATACAGACAATAATAGAAG